AATCATTTCACAATAGGTAAATCTTAATTGGGCACTGAATTGATTCTGATGAATTCTGTCAGAAGTCATTAATCTACGCGGACGAAGTCGCGGGCAACAGCTAGTATGAAAATATAACTTGATTTATACCATCACCTGTCGGCGTTTTTCGGAAGCGTTTTGTTTACGCCTTGAGCTGTGAGTATGAATACGTTATCAGATAAATTTTGACTAGCGAATAACCTTGAATATTTGACAATTCTTCCATACTAAAGACTGTCAAATTTCAATTTTATTCTACAGTTAAATAATTACTCTCATTGGCCGAGTGGTCGTAAGTGCAACTGCCGGGCAAGGGGTCTCGGGTTCGATTCCCGGGTCGGGCAAAAAAACTTCAGTAGTAGCACGGAGTCGGTTCTAAGCATAACATAATATGGTTGAATATCTAACATGACAATTTTGGATACCTATCCACGTAGATCAAACGTGAACTATTTTGAATTGGATTTAAATCAAGCAACTTGTTTAATTAAATTTGATATCACTCTATATCTACCTATCCGCAGAAAAACTGGATTTGCATGTCCTTATGGATTTGCGTCAATAATTTTTTACCTTCTATAGATAGAAGGTAAAAAATTATATATTATACTTACTTAAGATATGTGTTGTTATATTTTACTACTTAGTGACTGATATTAAAGTTCATCTATAATATATAAATGAATCGCTAAATGCATGACCTGACGCCTATCTCTCATCGGGGTAGACAGAGATTATAGAACGCCAATTACTACGATTCTTACATACCTCTTTGACTTCCACAACAGTTAGTCTTTTCATGTGTGTTAGTCGGTTAAGGGTACTTTTAATTTGGCCCTTCTTTAATATATAACTAATTTGGTCGCTATGTCGCGGAGAACCTAACGGGTTACTGGGGCTCCGGCTCGAAGTGCAGGAGAAGGAACGGGGTGGTTTTTAGTCAGTAAGAGTCTGACACTCCCTCTCGCCTCACCCAGGCGGGAGCAGGCGTTCGATGATTTTCGCCTATTAAAAAAAATAAAAAAAATCTGGTCGCTATATGCCCGCCTGGGGCGCTCTCTACTGACGGGTTAACTACTATGCGTAAATATCGAGAGCAGCTGAACCGATTTAGATTTGTTATGAGTATCAATAAGGTTGTAGTAAAAAAAGAAGAGCAACGTCTGTTTGTTTGCAGTACAAAAAATGTAGCCGAGCCTACAAAAAGCCTTGCTGGGAAAATTCCAAGAATACCTTCGACTAGGATTAACCAATATTAGTTTGACGTCACTCACCCACAGGTACTCCATTATTTTTACTATTACCATGCATAGTTTGCGGTTATGGCTCCAACAACTGATTGGTTCGTATATTTTATGAGGCCACGAGTATATAACATGATCTTTTTACATATATTTCTTATATTAAATCATCATTGTAATATCTATTATTAAGACTTGTTATTTGTTTCGCTGAATAAGAAGATTGTATAACTTCTACAATCTACTTAACGTGTCGTGGTGGCCCGGAGGTTGAAGATGCCTGCTTCTCATGCACGAGGGTGCGTGTTCGAAAACATCAGGAACTATAGATCCAATTTGAAAAATACTTTTTGTGTTGTATAGTCCATTTTTCGAAGACGGCTATAGGCTATCAAACATCACGCTACGGTCAATAGGCACCGAGCAGAGCGGGTGAAACCGCGCGAAAGAAGCTAATCAAATATAAAAAAAATGTGTGGTTCTACTCAAAAATCCGAAAATCCACTTAACTAAGGACCTCTTAATTGACACTTCAGGAAGACGTTAGTCTACTTATCTGAACTGCCTTCAAATTATACATAAAATTATTAAACAGGTCCAATAGCTAAATATGCATTGTTCAAGAATATGATAAGACCAGAAACCAAAGTGAACTACAATTTGGAACAACTAAACATCAAATGTCGCTTTATCCAAATTAACATAACATTGTACTGAGAACTTAGAACTATTTTATTTATTTATTTATTTATTTGGACTCCCAATTTAAGATACACTTAAATGATAAAATATAATCCACCAGACATTAAGTACAATGGCCTTGTAATCCTTCAATTAAAGGAAATCACATCATGCGAATAGAAATGTACAGCAATTGAATTTAATAGAAATTAAATAAAATTTTCGTAGCTAGCTAGAAAAACAAAAAAAGAATGCTATATAATAAACTAGACTAGAATATATCATCTGTAGTTATCCTCTGACATATTATTTTTTCTATTTTGTATCATATATATTGTTGTTAAAGCATTTAGAACTAATCCTCTCCTTCCTAGTTACCTTGGATGGTACAATGATGTCGGAAACTTGTCACGTACAAGCACTAATCGACTAATTTATTAAGTGAAGGTCGACAAAACTTTAACAAGAGATTTTTTAAATAGTTCCGTAACTATAAAACAATGAAAACACTAAAATTGCGAACTAAAATTGAAAGTCTAGTTATACTTCCTGTAATCATGTACAAGCTTCTCATGTTAAATATATAGAATAAGTCGCCATTAGAAATATCAGCTGTCACACATAATGAATCTCACCAGAATTGGTTCATTTGTTTAGGAGGCTACTGACGTACATACATACATAACGCCTATTATCCCCGGAGGAGTAGGCAGAGGTGCACATTACGGGACTTTATGCCACTGTACAATGTAATAACCACTTTTCACTATTTATGTTATGAGTCCCATGTAATAGGGGGTGAGCCTATTGCCATATACCGGGCACAATTCCAGGATCCGTGCTAGTATTGAGATTTTTTTAAACGCAGTAGTACTTTGCCTGACTCGGGAATCGAACCCGTGACCCCTTGCCTGGCAGTCGCACTTGCGACCACTCGACCAACGAGGCAGTCGACAGAGGTTACAGACAAATCATTACATTATCATTTTAACTGTATAATGTTTGAGGTTTACACACAATTATGCATGTAGCTGAGTGAAGAGCCCTATGTTCTGCCCTATGTGAAGACAGACACAGAATCAGGATAAAAATTACTTACAGTTTCGTAAAGAAATACAATTTGAAACTAAAATTCATTAAATTAACTAAAATCGCGGGTTACTCTAGTGAATATACTGAGAAAAGCCGCGACCGCGCACGCTGCTCATGAGGAAGAACCCCTCTGTGGATCGAAACTAGTAGAGCTTTTCTCAGTATATTCACGTGAGTAACCCGCGATTTTGGATAATTTAGTATGTCTCACGATAGTTATTATAAAAATACTAGCTGACCCGGCAAACATTGTTTTGCCATATAAATAATTTCGTAGAAGGGTGAAAATTGAGGATTGTATGTATTTTTGTATGTTGTATCATAGAAAAATTGAAATTAAAAAATTTGTCTAAAAATAAAAAAAAATGTAGGGGTTGACTACCCCTAACATTTAGGATGAAAATTAGATGTTGGCCGATTCTCATAGATACCGGATAAGCAAAAAAAATTTCACCAAAATCGGTCAAGCTGTTTCGGAGGAGTATGGCAACGAAAACTGTGACACGATAATTTTATATCTATACTAATATACTAATACTAATAATATTATAAAGAGGAAAGATTTGTATTTTTGTATGTTTGTAATGAATAAACTCAAAAACTACTGGACCGATTGCAATATTTTTTTCACCATTAGAAAGCTGCATTATTCAGAAGTAACATAGGCTATATAATATCACGCTAGGTCCTATAGTTGTGGAGCAGTAACCAAAAATGTTTTAAAAACGGGGGAAAAGTATCGTTTCTGAGGCCTTCCGTGGCGTGCGCTGAGCATATAGTTAAAGTTATACAAAAATGCTCTATAGATGAATTGTTCATCTTAACATTATTTTTAAAAAAGTCCGCGAAAAACTATGTAAAAAATCTTAAGTCCCCCCGTGCGAAGCCGGGACGGGCCGCTAGTATTAGATAAAATTCATTAATTATTATAGACACTCCACTCCCATATCCAATTTAGCAGGACACGTGACGAAATTCGTGATTAATAACAACTACACGTCTATAAGCATGGACAATCATAACTTTAGCCGTGTCATGTTAGAAAAACGGAGACTTTAGACTAGGTAACTTTAGGCAAGTATTTGTTTATTTACAGTAAGTGGTAGAGATCCGTGAGTTTTTATATGTTTATTCTGCTCTCTTTGTACATGTGTTTGATGATAACTTCGTCATTAAATCACGTGGTTGTTTTTATTATGCTGTTCACATTTGCCTTGTTTGTGCCCAGGTGGGTGATTAAAGCTCTCATGGAGGCTTTATCAACCACTTGAATAGCCGTGTATGAGGCATAATAGAAAATATGTAAATGTATAATACACGTTTAGACACACAACTGTTTTTTTTGGGGGGAGGGGGGTTATTGCATGACTTCTCCCGCCTAGGTGAGGCGGGAGGGATTGTCAGACTCTTACTTACTAAAAACCATCCCGGTTGCATGCACTTTGAGCCGGAGCCCGGTAACTTTTTACGTTCTCCGCGGCTCCGTATCGGCATCAGCCCTGATGGCCCCATCCGTGGTAGTCTGATGCGTCATTGAGCTGTATGCTCGGGTCTGGTTCTAGTCGGGCGACGAGCTGACACACGACGGGTTTAATATGTTATTTTCCACATGAGTAATTTTTGGGTGACCGTCCTTATGGTCCTTTACTTTTCATACAGAGCTAAGTACTTACTCATCTCGTAGTTTAGATTGAAGGGTTTCGTGTATAAAAAAACTAAATAAATAAAAGTGTTCTGTAAATGAAAAGTAGATAATTTTAGATTGCCATTTGTCTAGAAACCTACTGTAAACAGTTTTCGTCGCGGCACTCGTGCGAACGAGTCGTGTTGTAATTGTTTACGTCGATTTGACGCACTAATCGTCTGACCATTGATAAGCAAGTACCTAAGAGCTTAGAAAGGTCCCGCGCGGGGCAAACCGGTTTGCCACCGGCGCGCTATAGATGCAACGTGTCTGCGAATACAATGAGTGATACAAATGAGAATTACGATGAAATAAATGATGAGAATATGAATGAAGTTACAAACGAAATTTCAACTTCAAATGAAAATTTAGACAATTTAGATAATCCAACCAAGAAGAGAATGAGGGGAAGCAGCGATGAAGAATGGACAGAAGTAACACGAAAAAGCAAAAAACTTAAGGATATAAACAAAATAGAAGTATACATATCCAGTAAAGAAAAACTACCAAAACAATTTAATTTAGCCAAGATATTTAGAGACCAGAATATTAAAGATATTATGAGAGTAAAGTTTACCAATCCATACCGAGTTCGTATAGAACTGGGTAATGAAATTAGTGCGGAGAAATTAGAAACATGCAAATACTTTCTTGATCAAGGGTGGAATATTCACAGAGCAATGGAGAATAGTATGTCGTACGGAGTGATACGAGATGTTGACTTGGACATGTCAGAAGAAAACATTTTGGAGAATATTTTTTGTCCTGAACCAGCTAAGCTAATTTCAGTTCTTCGTCTGAATCGCAAGAATTTTGGGGAAGATGGATGGTCACCTAGTGAAGCTGTGCGCCTTGCCTTTAAAGGTTCCTTTCTACCACCATATGTGTACACTCATGATTTGAGAATAAAAGTCGAACCATATGTATTTCCGGTTTCACAGTGCTCACGTTGTTGGAGATTTGGCCATGTACATAAAAAATGTCCTAGTAGCAAGGTGATTTGTCCCAAATGCGGAAAAAATCACGAAAATTGTGAAACTTCTGATATGAGATGTGTTAACTGTGGAGGGAATCACATTTCTCTCTCAAAAGTATGTCCAAGCTTTCAAAGGGAAAAAAGATTGAGAGAACTTATGGCTGAGTTTAATTGCACATATCGAAAGGCCCTAACTATATATGCACCAAAAGAACCTAGTAAGGAAATCAACATTGAGAGATTAAGTAGTGAGATACATCCCACATTGGAAGAAGAGAACTTTACGTTTCCCACAAATATTAGTAGTCCAGTTTTTAAAATAACCACTAAAGCACAGATACATAAAAAGAAAGGGAAATCATCAACTAAACATAAACTGAACGAGGAAGATAAAACAGATATTAGTTATATGGAGTGGATAGAAGAAGGACAACATAATAATACTGAAAGGAAAAACTCCGTTGAATCAGAAGCAAAACAAAGAGATGTTACTTTCAAGGAGTTATTAATGAGGTTACGAGAGATAATATTCATGAAGGGAAGCACTATACACACAATTTTTAAAGAAGTTATCAAGACGTGTATTGAGTGGGTAATATTAGTATTAGCTGATAATGTAGCGGACTGGCCTATACTCAAATTAATTATGAACCTCCTATCAAATGGCAGATAAGTACTCAAAAATTATTAAACTTAATATTATACAATGGAATACACAAAGCATTCGTCCAAAGTTATGTGATTTTGAGAATTTTTTATTACAGGACAAGATTCACATTGCTGTCTTAAGCGAGACCTGGTTAGAACCAGATAGTAATTTTAAAGT